CTCAGCTTGAGAATAAAGGATTGAGGGAAGTGAGGTGTGGGAGAATAAAACTGAGCTCTGGAGAAATGTTTGGCTAGAGTTTCCCCTACAATATGTACCAGTTCCGACTTACATACAAATTCAACTTAAGAACAAACCTACAGTCCCTATCTTGTACGTAACCCGGGGACTGCCTGTAGTTGAACCCTAATATTGGTCTATTTTGATAAAGTTGTGGGTGTTCAGCAAAATAAAACAGTTCCTCTCCCCAGCCTTGGGTTTTCAGGAGATTAGTGTGTTACAATGCTCAATGAACATAACATAAGAACAGACATACTGGGTCAGACCAAAGGTCCATCTAGAGCCCAATATCCTGTCTACCGACAATGGCCAATACCAGATGCCCCAGAGGGAGGGAACACAACAGGTAATCATCATGTGATCCCTCTCCTGTTATCCATTTCCAGACAAACAGAGGCTAAGGACATCATTTCTACCCATCCTGGCTAATAGCCATTGATAGACTGAACCTCCATGAATTTATCTAGCTCTCTTTTGAACCCAGTTAAAGTCTTCGTCTTCACAACATCCTCCGGCAAGGAGTTCCACAGGTTGACTATGCTGCATAAAGAAAAACTTCCTTTTGTTTGTTTTAAATGTATTACCTATTAATTTCATTTGAAATTAGTTTTTATATTATGGGAACAAGTAAATAGCTTTTCCTTTTTCTCTTATTTGTTAGGATCTCCTAACAAAAAAAGCCCTCAGAGCATTCCGGTATCTGTGCTTCACTTTTTTGCAAATATGGATGCAGATACAAATTTGTATCTAGAACCCTGAAAATTGGTAGATATCTGCTTTATATCCATGGGCAGATACAAAATTTTGTACCTGCATCTGTGTCCGTGCAGGACTGTACAGATAACTGCCTGGGAAGCTGTTATCAAGAGTGAGGAGCCTGTTTCTGTCAGAGATATTCTGAAGCATTAGGGCTACCAGGGCTGGCTCTAATCACCAGCAAACCAAGCACGTGCTTGGGGCGGCACGTTTCCAGGGGCGGCATTCCGGCCAGCCTTACCGCCCGATGTGGGCCTTGCCTGTTACATTTCCTGGCTGTGTCCGTGCGCATCCCAGGGGGACCAGTGCCACTTTCACCCCTCCCCCAGGGCGCTCCGTTTCTGTGCATGCTGTCGGGAGAGGACATGGGGGTTTGGTGGGGAGAGGGAAAGGAGATGGAGTTTGGTCAGTGGGGAGAGGTGGGAGAGGGGAGCGAAGGATGGGGTTTGGCTGGGAGGGAAGAGAGATCGCAGGGTGGATTAGGTGGGGTGGGGGTGCGGACTGGGTCCGGTCACTGAGGGGTCGAGTTTGCCTGGGCGGGGAGAGAAGGTGGAAACTGGGGTGAGTGAGTGGTGGGTGGGGGGAAGACTGGATGCAGGCTGGGTTTGGCCAGTTGGCGCGGTGGGAGTCAAAGTGAAAGAGCTGCAAGGTGAAAGAGGCGAGATTCAGGAAACCTGCATGAGCACAGACCTGATGGTGGATTTCCCCATGCTGAACTGGTTCCTGCCGGAGCAGTACCAGTACTGGCATGGTGAGATTCCACAGGGCAATGGTGATGCTCTTCTGCAGGGGGTTGGCAGGTCTCAGCCGGGTGTTGTATCATCTAAGGCAGGGCTGGCTCTAGGCACCAGCAAACCAAGCACATGCTTGGGGTGGCACATTGCAAGGGGCAGCATTCTGGCTGCCCCTGAGAGATGCTGGCTGGAGAACTCCTGAACTCTTGACTCTTACAATCCGACGCGAGTCTGCCTGTGGCCGCCCAAGGCAATGGGGAACGCGTGCTCTTGCTGCCCCTCATCAGCGCCTCGGTGCTGGGCGCGGAGCGCGGGGGGAGCTGCCGGCTGGGTGGGGCCGGGCGGACGACACGCCCTTCCCGCGCCAGGTGATTCCAGCTAGGCCGGGAGGACGGGGAAGAGGTGTCGCTGCCTCTCTCCGGGAGCTCTATCGTGAACCCCTGGCCTTGCGCATTACATTTCCGGGCTGTGTCCACGCGCATCCACAGTGGGACCCGTGCCACGTTTCCCCCTCCCGCAGGGCGCTCCGACATTTCCATGCATGCTGGGGAAATGAGGGTTTGGTGGGGAGAGGGAAAGGAGATGGAGTTCGGTCAGTGGGGGGAGGTGGGAGACTGGGGCGGACTGGATCCAGTTGGGGGGGGGGTCGGGTTTGGCTGGGGGGGGAGGGAGGGGGCAGAGGGGGTTGGGGGGGGAG